ACAGCGGTACCGGGCGGCGTTTGCAGTGCGCGGTTGGACATGTAGAGAGTGCGGACAATCGTGTACCAGTAAAAGTAGGCAAAGTTGGTGGAGGCTACGCCGAGCAGCGCACCTCCCATGCCGGCATACAGACCAGACAAGCCCTCCTGGGCAAAAACCTTTCGTATCGCATCGAGCGCACTGTCGTAGTGCTCGTCATCAGCAGGATTGGCGCCGTCTGCGGTTGGAGAGCGCTTGACCTGAACTTGTAACCGCGTCTTGATCCTGGGGAATGCGTTAGCGTGTGCCTCAAGACAGCAAGAGGGCATGTTGGCAGGGATACGCACAAATCCAATGGGTAGACAAGAGTGTTTGCGATGACTGCGCCAGCGGCGCCGGCAACAGCATTACCCCATGGCGGTAGGGTCTCTACTTTGGACTGTCCGCCCATGGTAGCGGTTGTGGGAAGCGGTTATCGGAGAGACGGCTCAAGCACTGTGCTGACAGACAGAGTACGCAATCGGTTATGGGAAGTGGTAGTGTTGTTGGAGTGTAGTTGCAGTTATCTCATGGCAGAGCGGCCAAGTAAAGATTCAAGATGGCAGCATCGGAGGTGTAGGAAAAGTGGGCAAGGGACGATTGTGACGCTCCGCAACGTGATAGCGCGGTCGCAGGCATGGCTGACCTCTCCCGAGGTCCCAGAGGCCGAGGTTCAGGCTCGGGCCCATGTATGACGACACACTAGAGGCGTCTGCAGCGTAACCTTTTATTGGGCATGGAGTTGGTAAGTTCAGACACTATAACAAGAACAGTAAAAAAAAGTGAATCGTTTTAGAGGTTGAGAAGGAGAAAAAAGACATCGTCTCTTGCCTACCGCCAATTGTTCGTGTCTGGCTCACATGGCAATCGCGACTTTGTTCGGGCAGGAGCGTGCGTCGCGCTAAACCTTGTAACTCTCCGGGCAACAACACCAGGACACCATCGCCGTGTCTAGCTTACCTCTGACCTCAACCCCCGGTGACTTTATCGGCATGACCCACTACAGGTAATCTCGTATTCTCCGTGCCGTATTGATCAAACCCCTGCTCCCTTGCTCCGTTTTGTGCTTTTCATCATGGCAGACCGGGCCGCTCAGCTTGAGGCTTGCAAAGCTGCTGCAAGCGTATGTGACATCGCAGCCAGTCCTCCCACTATAACAGTGACCCTTGAACGGCGCCGCTTGCTGATGTGCGGCTCTCTAGAAATACCGCTCTCAACTGGATACGGCTGCTACTAAAGATGAGGCTCTCACTTTAGCCATTAGCGCAGCTGAGAATCTCATGAAAGCGCTCAAGTTGGCGTCAAACCAAGACGAGAAGAAACTGCTCAAAGCACAGTGTGGCGAAATCATGAATGTTGCCGACCGCATCAAGAAGACTGGAATGTGGACACAATCTGCGAAGCCACAGTCAAATGAATCCAAAAGCCGCCACATTGGCCAGTGGGCCACGCAAGTTGCAGTAGCAGCAGATTCATCATCGGCTTTCCAAGACACTACTACACGGTCAAGCTCTTCTCCTCATGGAACTTCCTCTGCCTCAACACCCGATGCGTCGTCGTATCAAGATAGCCCCAATATCAGCACCAGTAACGCTTTTGATATTGATCGTGCATCTAACCCAAGTCTAAAGTCGTCCTCGCAACCCTATCCTGCCAGCACACTTTCTCACTCAACTTTACCCAATGTAAGTGAAGCCGGTTCATCACGAGCGGCAGCTTCCCACCCCCAAATATATAGGTTGCGTGAGCCGGTGTCAAGCAGGCAACTCTCTAAGAGGGAGGAAATCATCCTACTAAAGGCCTCCATGGTCAATGGCTTCAAATTCCCACCCTGGACCAAGGAGCCATCCGCAGACGAGTTCGCTTCACTTCATGGAGATGGCGATTTCATCGATATGGGTGAGCTTAGTCTTTCTCCTTACCAACAGCAATTCTTCCTGGACTGGCTGCGGGCAAAAGAAGCTGTACCACCGCCTTCTCTATCCTCCGATAGCACAGAGAGTGTCGGACCTTTAATGTCCAGTTCGAAGCCTCTGGATCTCGTACAGGACGCGGCTACAGATTGTTCGGTGGTCACAAGTCTATGTGCTGGTATTGCTCGTTCAGAGCGTGGCCATGAACAGGTCCGTCTTCTAGACCCATGGGAGGTTTGGTATTGACCATTACAGATTCTCACCAACAAACTATACCCATTTGATAAACAGCGTGGAAAACCAGTGCCATCGTCAAATGGCAAATATGTTGTGCGACTCAACTTCAACGGTTGTTGGAGAAAAGTTGTCATTGATGACCGACTGCCTGTTTCAAAAACCCACCGGGTGCTCCACGTCATCGACCGCCGCAACCCAGCCTTGTTGTGGCCAGCACTACTCGAGAAGGCCTATCTGAAAGTCCGCGGCGGTTACGACTTCCCCGGTAGTAACTCATGTGGTGACCTATGGGCAATGACTGGCTGGATCCCGGAACAAGTCTTCCTACAAGAGTATGCTACATATATTCTTAGACTTGCTCTGAGGCACGCTAACTGATTTTCAGAACGGAGACAGTCCCTGACCAGTTATGGAAGCGCATCTACAATGCTTTCATGTATGGAGACGTTTTGGTCACTGCAGGCACAGGCAAGATGTCAACTAAGCAAGAGCGTGAATTTGGACTCGAGGGTCAGCACAGCTATGTCATACTTGACATGAAGGAGACGGATCACGACCGGCTGTTGCTCGTCAAAAATCCATGGATCGAAGGTAAGGGTTGGCGTGGGCCTCGTCCATCTGCCGTGGCTGCCATGGATAACTCTACTGCCGGAGAGCTCAATACCAGTGTAGAGGTTTATCACAGGGACAGCGTTCCGACACAAGATCGGCCTCAACCAACAACGTTCTGGATAGGGCTTGAGCAGGTCATACAACATTTTGAGAGTCTATATCTCAACTGGAATCCGGGACTTTTTCGTTACCGTCAAGATATCCATTTCGAGTGGGACATCAATGCGTCAACACCAGCCGGATGCATAGTCAACAATCCACAGTTTGCCTTTACATCCAAAGATGCCGGGCCCGTCTGGCTTCTTTTGAGCCGCCATTTCCGGGATGTACAAGAAACCACAAAGGAAGATTCAGACGTATTCAACGATGGCAGCGTTCGCCATGACACTCAACTTGGCGGTAGCGGAGAGGCACCAAAGGGTTACATGAGCATGTATATCTGTACTGGACATGGAGAGCGGATTTACATCAAGGACACGTACCTAGAATCAAGCGACTATGTGACAACGCCTCAATGTCTCCTCCGCAGCGACATGGATGCCAACACGACGTACACGGTGGTGATTGACCAGGACGACTTGCCTCGGTCAAAGTACACATTTTCGCTGTCGGCATTTGCCAATACGCCCATGACACTTGAGCCAGCGACACAACGACTGCCGTTACAAGAGATTCAAACCGGAGCTTGGACAAGACAGACGGCAGGCGGCAGCACAGACTCGCCCAAGTACTTTGACAATCCTCAATACTCACTCCATGTGCACCAACGCGGCTCGCTAGCGATTCTGCTGACGAGTACAAATCACGAACATCCTTTGCACGTCAAACTTGCGTTTGGACACGGGAAGAGGCTGTATCGGTTACAAAGCCGGGATGTGCTTGCAGACTCGGGCAACCACCGCAGTGGATGTGTTTTTGCCCAGATCAAGGATGTTCAGCCGGGATACTATACCATTATATGTTCGCTATTTGAAGCGGGACTGACTGGGGACTATACACTGCGAGTCGACAGCAGCAGTCAGGTAGGGCTGACGCCGATAGCGCGGGACGGAGCAGGGCTGCTCTCGATGAAGCTTGCTCCAGCGTGTTTTGGCGCACATGTACACAAGGTGGCAGCACCAATTCGTCTGCATCGGTTGGCATCATATACAATTATTGCGCGGTTCTTGAAGGCAACAAGCCCTCGGGCAATGGATCTGGGCAAGCTAGCGCGCAGCCCGCTGCGGCTGAGCGTTGAACTGGGACGGGGTCCAGAGCGCAGAATCATCATTGCTAGCGAACAGGGGGAATATGCAGACTCAGCCACGGTTCGGTCCGAGAGCGTCGACATTGATCCGATGGATTGTAGGCAGGGGGATGTGTGGCTTGTGTTGGACAGGTTATCGGGCCCTAGCGGACCAGTGGAGGAGTGGTACGACGTGGAAATGTATGTCAACACTCCGCAGGCGTGTGAAATTGGGGTTTGGCGAGACTGGGACGACTGATGAGGCTTGTGCGAGGGCGCCTGGTGCTAGTGGGTGAGGGTGTGCATTGCCGATCTCTTTGGTCAGACGTTAGGCCCATGTGGGCAGGTTGAAGGTCAGGATACGTTATCACTCGAAGAGTAGCGGATATGGGTGGGAAACGTGTGGCGAGCCCTCAGACGCCTCATGGAACTCTGAAGACGCCACAGTGCGGTGAAACATGGTAGGGGGTGGTGGACGGCGAGTGTAGATCCAATCAAGGGGTGCACGATCTGACAGTGCATGACCCTATTGCATGTTTCGTCTTGCCGCAGACCGCATGATGGACGATAACGGCGCGCCAAGCGCTGCAAAGCGGACCGGCAACCGTGTGACCAAAGCGCTTGTTCAGGCCGGGTATGCGAGCATGATGGTGGTGATGATGATGAGTGTTGTAGTGTAGAGTATGTCTGTATACGCACGAGTGTGTAGAGAGGGTGTGAGGGTGCAAGAGTAGTGCACCAAGGGCAAGTGGCGTCTTCTCCACGGGTGGCTAGGCCCCTACCCCGCTGCAGCAAGGTTCAAGACTATCGGCTGCGCTACGTCAGTCAGTTCCTCCGCGCGCGCGCTAACACTAAGAACATTGCAAAAGCGCACCGCTTCAACACCAAACCCCCAACCACATCCCGACCCTTCTCCGCAATACTGCTCTGGCCTCTATCCCCACCCGACACCACTCATCTTGACGACCACATATACATATCCACGCCAAACTGCCATGGCGGACCTCGCCCCTGAGAAGGCCCAGTCGGCCTCGGCACCCGCGTCTACCCTCAACTCTGGCGACAATTCCCGGGCGCCTACTCCTTCAAACGCCGCCGCAGAAAAGGCTCCCGATGATAGTTCCAAGTTCAAGACGTTCTTGGGTATATTGAGGAGGTAACGTTGCACCGCTTAGCCACTGTGCTCCCTCAGAAAGCTGACTGTCTGCTGCTTGTAGGTTCATTGGCGTCTCCGACCTCGCTGCCGTCCGATTCTCTCTTCCCGCACAACTCCTCGAGCCCCGACCAAACTTGGGTATGTAGACTGGATACTTAGTCACGATATACAAGATCTGATGGGATAACAGAGTACTGGCACTACTTGGACAGGCCCGACACATTCATCAGGTCAGTGCAGCTTGCATGCTCCCACCAAGAGAAACCACTGACTCGTGCAGCATCGGAGACTCAGATGACGATCTCGGCCGCATGCTGGGATGCCTGCGCTTCTGGTTCACCAAGGACTTGGTATGATGCAACTACAAATCCCGCCGACATGGCTGACACTGGCGCAGAAATACGTCAAGGGCAAGCCATGCAAGCCCTACAACTCTACCTTGGGCGAGTTCTTTAGGGTATGTGGCTGGAATAGCTTCGGATGAAGCCGCTTGCTAACCCTTGCAGTGTAACTGGAAAATCGAGGATACACATCCCACGCTCAAGACGCCCAACTCGGCTCCCACAAGCGCTGCCAGTAGCACCAAAGGCAGTGGCAAGAAGGTGACCGTCTCCTACCTTACCGAACAGACATCACATCACCCCCCGGTTTCGGCTTTCTACGTCGATTGCCCGGAAAAGGGAATTAGCGCGCGAGGATATGATCAGATAAGCGCAAAGTTTACTGGTACGAGCGTGCGTGTTGCGGCTGGTGCTCACAACCTGGGGATCTTCATCACCCTGAAGAACCGCGACAACGAGGAATACCAGCTCACCCACCCAGCAGCTTACCTGGGAGGTATCCTGCGAGGTATGTGCTCGCTGCTAGAATTGGCGCCAACCGACTGACCGGACGGACAGGCTCCTTGAACGTCTCCGTCGCTGACAGCTGCTTCATCACCTGCCCAAAGACTGGATTGAAGGTCATCCTAGAGTATCAGGAAGAAGGCTGGCTCGGTCGGTCCCAAAATAAGGTCATGGGGGTCATCTTCAAGTATGACCCAAATAACGACACCATAACAAAGATCAAGGACGTTTCAGACAAAGACGTTCTTGGCCGGATAGAGGGCAGCTGGCAAGACAAGGTTTATTACACTCTCGGAAGCAAGCCCTTTTCCAAGGTCTCCGTAAGTACACTGAATAGGGATTTGGCTGCCGGCTCTTAACACTTGAGTAGGAGAAGAACCTCATCATCGACCTCAACCCACTCGACCCCGTCGCCAAGATTGTACCGCCGATTGAGAAGCAACTTCCCAACGAGTCTCTCAAATTCTGGGAGGGTGTCACAAACGCCATAGTAGGCAGGCAATATAGCGTGGCTACCACCCTAAAGACCGAGATTGAAGAGAAGCAACGGCAAAAGGCTGCGGAGCGCAAGGCAGCCGACAAGGAGTGGCAGCCGCGATTCTTCACCGGAGCCGTTACGCCTATCGGAAAGCCGGACCTTACCAAAGATGGTGAGGAGGCGCTCAAAGGTCTCCATGAGGAAAACTATGACCTCCCGCCAAATCAAGAATATGGTGCTTTCTAAGCGCTATTTCCTATACCAATTTGCATTTGCGGATGACGGGCGCGAACTAGACTTTGAATACCACGTCCGCTACCTCGTCCAATACGATCGCGTACGAAGCATGCCACCCTCGTTTGGGATATCACCTCACATACTGGGAACGCTCTTTGTTGGTTAGAGAGGAGCATGGCTTTGTCGATGGCGTTACACATTTATTCTATACTTACCAAGGGGGCCTTACAATCATGTGTCTTTTTGTCACGATTATTTACGAATAGATTTCTAGACTGCCTGCCTAAAATAGGCTTTACTGTCTTCATACCCTTTCAGCCGGGGATGCTGATTTTGAAAAAAAAAAGATACCCAAAGCAACATTAAGTCCACACGCAACAATCGCCTACAACATTTATGGAGTTATGCTGATATCAAGGTTTCGCCTGGAAGTTGAAATCCCAATGAAGGGTACAAGAAATATCTATTAGGATGGTATACATACCATGTGCTGTCTGTCTATTACTATCTGATTAGTATCACTTGATCCTCCGTATCCTTGGCGCCATACGCCTTTCTCTCTTCTCTTATGGCCCCCGTCCCTGATATCCATACTCCCAGCCTTTCTGACGAAAACAAAAAAAAACATCAACATCCAACAACAACCCCAACATCATCAATCGCAACACTCCATCCTCCATCCCCCTCAGCCCCATACCCCTGTACCGTAACCGCAACCGTATGTCCCACACCACCCGCCCCCACATCCTGCACAACCACCCTCCCCCCAATCCTCACCCACTCCTCCTGTCCCTCCCCGACCTCAACCCCACCCCCACAACTCCCCCCATCAAAAAAAACCTCAACCCTCGCCTTCGCCTTGCCTCCCCTTGCCGCCCTAACCCACGCATAACACTCCACCGCCTTTCCAACCTCCACCTCAATATACGACTGCGACAGCGTAAGCGTAGATAAGATGTCTGCACTGCTGTTGCATGAGGCGAGGTACGCGGTTGCGCTGTTGTGGCCCCCGGGGTTGTCGCGTGTGAGACTGCGTGAGGAGAAGGAGCCGGTGGCTAGGGAGAGCCAGGGGGACAGGTCCTGCGGGTTGGATTCGAAGGAGGGGTTTTGGAGGAGGTTGGTTGAGGTGCAGGAGTTTGAGATGGGGAGGGCGGTTGTGGTGGTGGTGGTGGTGGTTAGGAGGAGGGTTGGTAGGAGGAGCATGGTTGGTAGTTTGGAGTGTGTGGATGTGAGTTGTTAGAGTCCGCCTTCTTTTTCCTTCCTTTTGTCCCGGTCGAGAGTCGGAAATATGAATGTGCCAGCGAGATGGTTGGAGTCAAGAAATCGTTGTTGTTTGCGCTCGTGGAACGTGTGACAAGCAAAGCGCAGCCAGCCGAGTTTGTCCTTTGCAGTCCGAAATCGTTTGTTTTGCCGAATAGTAGAAGAGGAATATATTCGAGTGTCCTTCGTGTTGTACAAACAATAGTACAAATGTAAGAAAAAGTCCCGAGTGACGTCTTTGTTGCTAGCCTTGTTTCCTCGCGGTCACCTGTTGTCGCAACTTCTTCATGTGCCCCGTCCGCGTGAGGAGACAAAGCAGAGAAAACCACGAGGTGCTGAAGATGACAGAATGGAAAAAAAGTAAAAGAGGAAAGAGTCTTGTTTAGATGCCAAATGCAAGGGAGTGATCTGACGTCTAGGTCTATTCTAGAAAGAGAAACAAGGGAAAGAGGAAAGAGGAATAGTAAGTTGAAAGAAGGAACAGAAACGGATAGTAGCAATGTAGAAAAACAAAAATCTTGATACCTACACTCGTAAATACCACACACACACACAACACATCCCTACCCTCTCCTTTTTTTTCCCTTTTCCTTCCCGTCTACAACCATCCAACCCACTGCCAGTTCAACCACACACAACTCCCCAATCAACAACCCCCATCCCAAAAACAGCCAAACAACCGACACACAAAAAGGGGGTCTACGGGATAACTTGAAACACATCATCCTTCCCAACCTCTCCATCCGCCAACAAATCCCAACCCAGCATATCTACTTTCAGCCCCAATTCACCGGCTCCATCCACACATACGCCAGCCCGGCATCTCGCAAGCTCGCCTGGTTCGGCACTCGTAAGTGTAGCGTCGGAGGGGGGCGCACGTACCCCCGTGTGCGTTGGAGCCAATAGCGGGGCTGCCGTGGCTTTTGGCACTGGGATAAGCGAGATTTATGGGCAAGGGGGGGTGGGACGAATGGGATGGGCGGTACGCATATTTTGTAGAGGATTGGAAGTCGGAGGGCGAAGGATGTGACGGATGTTCGGAGGTTTTTTGTTGTGTGTGTGTATGTGGGGGCTGGGAAAGGGGGGAGGGGGGGTCAACGGTGGGTGGTTGTGGTACAATATCTTGCATGGTAGTAGGGATAGTACAAGGCGAGAAACGTTGCCGCAGTCGTTGGACTTTGTTAATTTGAGCGTTTCGAAGAAGGTAAGGCTAGATATATACAGCTGAATAAGTTTGAAGAAGAAGAAGAAAAAAATCGCAAGACATCTCGAATATGTACACCGTTTCCATCATTACCGCTCGTATAAACTTTGTTTTAGTTTGTTTTGTTTGTGTGTCTCTTCGATCAGAAGAATTTTAACCAAAAAAGGGGTGGAATTTCCGTGCGGGAAATAAAAAGACCTTGGTTGGTGTTGTTCGTTTCTGATTTAATAAGCGTTGGCGGACCACTGGTTGACGGTGAACTTGGCGGGGCCACCAGTGAAGGCCTCGGTACCGAACTGGTAGGCTATCATGGCTGTTAGCATCTTCTGCATCATCATCATCATCATCATCATCATCATCATCACCACTTTTAAAAAAACTTACTAATGAGGTTCTGGCTGTTGATGGGGAAACCCTTGTTGTTGGCGAGGTACTGGAAGAAGTCCTTCATGCTGGCCTTGAAGTTGTAGATGGGGCCCGAAGGAGTAACGAAGCTGTAGACCTTCATGTTGCCGTTGAGGCCGTAGAAGAGTTCCCATTGGCGGCCAGCGACGTTGACCATCCCTTGCGAGGATCCAATGGGGTACACATCGTACCTGCCGAGCCTATAATCCTCAAACGTTAGTATATGTGATAGTGAAGAGCTAGAAGGTTGGATGATGGTGTAAAACGTACCAGACCATGAGCTCGTAGTCACCGCTGCTGGTGGGGTGGTTGACGTTGGCAGAGGTGAAGAGATCGTAGGCAACATTGCAGCGGATGTTGGAGGTGTCGTAGACCCAGTAGGCCTCGGTCTCGAGGTTGCTGTACTGGCTGACGGGCTTCTTGGTGATTTGACGGCCAGAGTAGACGTAGCTCTTGACATTGTCACGGCCACCCTGCCACTGCCAGTTGGAGGTCCACTTGGCACCAGTCTGGCTTACGCTGTTGACGTAGGTGCATTGAGATCCAGAGGTGGCTGAGCTGCGGCCCCAGATGTTGTTGTTGAGCTCGTAGCCGTTGCTGGAGTAGTACTCAAAGTCCTTGCAGAGGGTGGCTTGCTGAGCGGCCGTGAGGGAGGCTAGAGCACTGAGAATGAATGATACAACCTTCATGATGGGCGGTTTATGGTTGACGGTTGATTGGCTTGGAAAGATTGGCTGTTGTGATGCGTGCTGTTTTCCCTGTGCGTATCCTCGACCTTTTGTACTTCTCCATAGTTGCCTTCACGACTCCACATGGTCTAGGATCATGACTTTAGACGGTGGGGAAAGCTTCAGTGGGTCCTCATATAATTCAGTCCTCCATCAGTCGCGATGCTTCCCTAGATTCCGACGCGTCTCCAGAAGCGACCGCTCGAACAAGTTGTATCCCCAGTCTCATGGGGGGACCAACTACTCATGTGAGCAGGCCCTGGGCGGAGAATTTAATATGAATCGCCAATCATGTGTCGCGTGGCTAACCCACTTGTATTACCTGCATCGGCGAATTAGTCTCCGCTCGAACAACGGCCTGGGAAACAACAGGTAATATCCTGGATATCTGCCGTCGTGTTCTCCCGACTACCGGGCGTTGTTCTGAATGCGCTCAAGTTCCAGAAACATACCCCACAATTCTACGACCGTGCTGACATGATGCCTTCCATGTTTTTCCTGTTTCGGCAGGATTCCAGTACCTCACACGTGGGCCGGGGACGATCTGCTCTTCACGTCTAGCTGTTTTGCAAGCTTCTAGAGTCATGTTCCTGGTTGTTCAATGTTCCAAGGACCGGAAGCGTTCCCGATTTTCCTGTTTCTCAGTCGCGGTGGAAGAGGACGGATCGGACTGTGATACCCTTCAGAGCAGTAGCTCTCTCTTGGAAGTATTGGAGGGTAAGCAGATGGACAGCACAGATGCAAAGTCCCGGTAGTTGAAAGCAAAGCCATATGGGAGATGATCCTATCTGATATGCAATGGACGCAAGAGTGGGGAGAGCGTTGTCACGAGGACCTAGCAAAATAGATGAAACTGATCCTTCTAGGCGCAACGGGGGTGCGGGATTGGCCGCACGTCGATGCAGGAACCCCTATGTACCTTAATATCGAACAAGATATAGAGTGGCAATGCCATTAATTCTTTGAGTATCTCCTGCACTGCAAAGGCAGTTTACCAGCTCTCGAAAAGCTCGCTCTGAGGTCGCATCCGCCAAGGCAGCGGCCCGGGGTTCGGTGCGGGGGTCAGCACAACCCCAGTATATCGTCACCCGCGTTGCATCATCTGACAATGTACCTATACATACTAGTGTTTTCTTCACTGCCGTGGTAGTCCGTCGTGAACGCTATTCTTCGACCGCTGGAAAAATTCCGCGCTCCTAACGCGTCAGTGCCGAAATGAGTATCGTAGCCGCCTGAAAGACGTTGGAATCTGCAAGTACAACTCTACAATCCTAGTATGCCGGGGGGGCGTTTCACTTACAGCCTGTTAAATGATTGTTGAACCACCGATATTTACTTTAGTTTCTCCACATGCCAGCCCTCCATGATACAAACCTTGTTCGCAAAGGGACATTGAGCACTTTGTGTATAATGAATCATTTTTATCAACATCATAAGCTCTCCCAAGCTTTTAAATTTAGATGTCTTCTCTCTTCACAAGGTTCGGTAGTTTGGCCTTGTTTGGCGGGACGGCTAGGTGATCTCAATCCCGAGTGGTGGACCCACTCTTGTGCGTTGAAACATGCTTACTCCAATCTAGACTCGCTTGGTGAAGGTGTAGAGAGATGGCTGGCTAGAGCTACGACCGACTTGTCTCGACCCACTCTATTGCTTCGTATTCGCACCGGTTTTTGTTCACTTTCCATCTTAATGATTGGACCAAGTTTTTCTTCGAGTATTTCAACCCTGCACGTATACTTGACCCGCTGATTGCGACTAACAATCTTAATTCGACGTCTTCTGTTTTGATATATGAATATACTCGCAGACCGTGTGATTTCATCAGATTTGTAGCTGGGTAGATGGGACCACTCTCTTCTCGTGGTATTGAGCTCAAGTCGTTCAGAGTAGTACTTGTGGCTATATCTCAAGGTGCAGCAGCAGCAAACCACTGTTCTAATATTGAGTAGCCCCTACGCAAGGCTGACTAACCGAAATCGTACCACTCGTATCTACGAATTACATCTGGGCAACGTTCATCACGGCCCGTCTGACACGAAATGCTTCAATCTGAGGTAGCCTAGTGGGAATCTAGCCGAGATGAGCTGCAATGATATTAAGCTCGCACCACTTCTTCTATTAAGGCCAAGCTTTCCACGATACGAGCGGGATGTCTTTTCTACAATTTGCTCATGCACACTGAGATAGATAAAATGTAATCTATGTCCGAGAGTCGTCCTTCTTGTCCGAATTGTAGGATTTGTAGGAGGTAACATTCCGGCATGTCTGGACGAAATGATGGTGTTGGAAGCACAATCATACGACTATCGATGTCAGTACATGGAGTTTCTTGTGGGTTGTAGGGCTTTCGTTTTAGACAGTCTGGCCCTCAGGAGACGCCCTGTTGTGTCCAACATTCAGTTCAAGCTCAAATAAAGATACTGGGAAGCTTATACAGAAACATTGTTTTGCTCCACCACCATGTTCACTGTAGCGTCCGTATGTCTACTCCAGGTTCCGACTTACAACCAATCAAGACCCCTCCGTCTCAAAACAACCCCTCATCTGCAATACTATCGCCTCCAATAACATATCCTTGGCTTCTGCCCAAGCAATACCCTCCCAACACTTTTGCCCCTATCCTCCACATCACCTGAGTGCGGAACTGCTACGGTGCTATTACTGGTATCAACAGTTTTACATACATGTACCGTAACCTGGTTATATTAGATGACCCCAGGCGCTTAAGTGGCCTGTGTGTACACTTTGGAGTTCTTGTAATTGACTGGCGTGATATATCTATGTGTTCCATCCAGAATCGTAATAGGGATATGGAATGTGTCCGCCTTGACGACAGTAATGTTGCGCTTGCTTTCTTCGTGGCAAGGTTGCTTGTTTGCCGGCGTTGCTTGTCTTTGCATTGAATACCGTATACCTCGAGGCGCTGTCGTACCGTTTGCGATAATGGGCGCTAGTCAAGTTTTTCTAGTGAGTGTTTAATTTTGACGTTGGGTTGTGCTGCTCCCTGTATATCCTAGGGTAGTTGTTTTGGGTCTTGTTGTTGAGTATGGGGGATATGTTGAGGTTGGCATAAGTATCTTTTATCGCATCTAGTATATTTGAAGTCCGCATTAGATTTCTGTCATCATTAAACACATCTCTAGCCTTGACTGCAGATTCCATCCCTGTCTCTTAGCTATGACACGCTTTTGCAGATACCGTATAGTAGGCCAGAGACTTGTGACAAATGAACGAATGATAGAAAAGCCTGCTTTTCCACACGAGACTCTTCTGCAACAAACCGGAATTTGAAGACTGACCCTATTGTAAAGTTCGGTCGTTTGAAAGTGATCCTCTTCTGCCGATTTAATTCAAGCCCTCCATTCATGAGCTTTCTTCTATCTAGGTATTCCACCTGTGTCTTTACGTATTGAACTTGTGTTTAACACGTCGAAACAAAGACTGAACACAGGAGACTTTGATAAAAAGAACTCATTAATCTGGCCATATCAAATGACCATCAACTTAGACAACCTCTTTCCATAGTTTGCAAAACGAGCTTGCTAGTGTACTCATAGGGTCCACTGTTCGTAAGTAGAAGGCGTGTTGGCACTTCGTGAAAGTCCTTCGCTATTGATATACTTTCTTAACCAGAAAATTGGCTGATATTGATTCAACTAGGACATGAAATAAACCACGGATGTTCCTGTTTCGCACGTTGCTAGAGTGGAAACTAAACATGAAGTCTCTCCTGAGCTCTCAGTGCGTGTACAGGAAACTGGTCGATTTTCTTGTGGTCCAGCAGAATGGCAAAATATGAGGAGAAAACACCACTCATGTAGTTTTTTTTTAAACTAGGCTTTGTCGAAATCTGGCCAACACTTGGAGACAGCTGCCGCATTTATATATACATGTACCGAATCACGGTGGACGGCTCTCCGGCGTCAGCTTTCCCTAAGTGATGCAAGTCGACAGTAACGGAAAGATTGTCTAGGCCGAGTCTCCCTAAAGCAGTTGTAAGACCTGAGTCACATCGGCCGGATTATTGAAAAAGGTACGCGAGAGGACTACGTGTACTAGCGCATTCCGCGGGTTTGAAACACTATGAAACATCTTGGAAGACTTTGGAAGGATTGGGGTCTTCGAATGGAAGAACCGGGAGGCGCGGAAGGGGTATTACACAGCAAAAACAAAGTTTAAGGCTCATCTCCACACTACGGAAAGTGCCCGCCACGGATGTCAGGAAATCCGGCTAGATTGTGGTTACAGGTGTGACCGAATGGTGATGGCAGGTTTACTCAGATGGAATATTATTGCCGGATACGCGCTCTTGGGACTGAGTTTTAGTGATTGGCGACGTGATCATACAGGCCCTCTGACTAGTTACTCGGGGGGTCCGTATCAGGAATTGTTCTAGGTGTCGACTCAAAACGCCTCAAAAAGTCCTTTGGTTTGTGGTAATTTGAGAGCGTACCTAGGTACGTGAATGGTCTTCTAGATAAACACGACCAGGACCAATTTTCATTGACCTGTGGGTGAGCATGCGCTTCTTCCAAATCTTAGACCTGAACAGCCACTTTTACACAAATGCACATTTGCATCACCAAAACAAGTTCCAAGGCGCGTGAAACTACAGTGTATAGTGGATGAATATATTTAGATTAATACCAAGACATAAGAAGACAATGCCAAGAAGCAGCCAAGAAGCAGCACGTTTCACGCAGACCCACTGTTGCGAGCACAGCCCTGGCAGCAATTCGGTCGAAGTGGCCAAACGTCTATATGAAACAGATGTTGTCGAGTTGACGAATGGCGAGGCTTAGTTTTGGCGGAGACACAAGTTTTGGGTTAGATTGATGGATGCCAAGCTACCGAGCTGTGGAGAAGCAATCCAACTTGGTAGTATTGTCACATTGAGATTATCCCAGCGGGCCCTACCGCGTTTCTTCGACAGATCGTGACGATGCAGCCCCCTTTGGACAGGTACATAGTAGCACGTACCTGATTTGACTGACTCTAACTGCTAAATACACAAGCACATAAGCACAAACGACGGAATAGGCTTGGCAATGTTGCGTGTGCACTGCGCCCCTCACTCGACTTACTCTCTTTCCTTTGACATGTACCATCTGTCAGCGCCTACGGCACGGCGAGATACCACAACAGCCACCCCGAAAGTATGTTCGGTGCCAATGCAACATGACACCTGCCTCCCAAGCCCGAGATGATGTCTGGAATACCCGCCGTTGCCCCATCGCCTTCCCCAGGGCGCCGCCACCACCAAGACTCTACGTGGGCCTCCGTGTCAAAAGTAGTGGATGTCAACGACATTGTTAATGCGCACAAGAGATATTGACGTACATAAAAAAACAAGTACATGAGGCGTTCACGTACCGCGGCCCTTGATAGAGCCGTTGCTTGATCAGTGGCAGCAATGATTTGCATTCATGATTCATGCGCATAAGTTCGAGAACACAAGACGCAAAATTGTACGCACCTCGAGCAAATCCACCATAAGGCGAACAAGGGCGATCGAAACATTGTGCACTAGACGCGTTCCGCCCAGACGGAGGAGGTCTTGGCTTCATCTGCACCGTTGACGATTCCCCCATGGCCCATTGACAGTCCAAACAGCGGGCTGCGACTCGTATCAGCGCTAGATGGCTCCTACCCGCAATGGCATTTGGATTAGCCGCCTCGTCCCTGTCGTCTTTTCTAGGCAGAGAAGCGGAGCAACCAATAATTTCCAAGCGACATGATTGATCTCTGGACCCGTACGCCTCTGTAACAAAAGAACTGAATAGTATAAGAAGTACCTATCCACCCCAGAGATGAAAGGGCACGCTTGACGCTCAACCTTCATTCATTCTACATATTCGATTCAGTCTTTTGACTTGTTCGTTCTTTTCGACTTCAGCTTCGAATAGTCACTCTTTCACAAGACAGGTTCTACACTCGACCAGTTCATCAACCAGCCGCCCCATATCCTCATTCAAAATGAAGTCTTTCATCTCTGCTCTCGCTTTCGCCGGTGCTGCCAGCGCCCACTGCACCATCTGGGGTGTTTCCGTCAACAACAAAGACCTTGGCTACGGCAACTCTCAGGGTGGATACATTGACACTCCTCCCAACAACTCTCCCGTCACCGATGTCACCTCCAAGGCGATGGAGTGCAACGTAGCCAACATCAAGGCGGCCAAGTCCATCTCTATCAACCCTGGTGATGAAGTCGCTGTAAGTATTTGTATGCCACAGTTTCGGATTGAAGACGTGCTGACATGACCAGGTCCAATGGTTCCACAACGGTCCCGGAGCCGGCGACCAAATCATTGATGGATCTCACAAGGGACCAATCAACGTCTACATGTCAAAGGCTGGCTCTTCCATGTCATGGACCAAGATCGCCGAGGATGGATGGGATGGCAAGTCGTGGGCTGTCACCAAGCTCCGCGATGGTGCGTACAACGGAAAGAAGGGACAGCACACATTCAAGATGCCCAACGTCGCTGCCGGCGAATACGTCATCCGTCCCGAGATTATTGCTCTCCACGAGGGCAACAGGCCCTCGGGTGCCCAGTTCTACATGGGATGTGTAAGTTGGCTAGTTGCATGACGTGCTTAGTAACAGACGCTGACTTGAGATTGCAGATTCACGTCAAGGTTGGCGGATCCGCCAGCGGCTCTCTTCCTGCCGGTGTCTCGATCCCAGGCTACGTCACCGCTACTACCCCTGGTGTCTTGTTCGACATCTACAACTCATTCCAGAGCTACCCCAACCCTGGTCCCAAGCTCTGGAGCGGTGCCGGTACCGCCACGGCTGCTGATGCTGCTCCCGCTCCTGCTGCCTCTCCATCTTCTGCTCCTGTTGCCGGTGCTCCCGCTGCCTCTCCATCTCCCTCTACTGAGGCCCCTTCTACTGAGGCTCCTTCTAGTGAGGCTCCCGCTGCCGAGGAACCCGAGGAGTGCACTGACGATTCTACAGAAGAGCCTGCTGAGGAACCTGCTACTCCCGCCCCTGCTGCTCCCGCTGCCTCTGCTCCTGCCACTGCTCCCGCTACCGGTGGTGCTGAGGCTCAGAAGTGGCACCAGTGCGGTGGTCAGGGCTACACGGGCGCAACTGCCTGTGTCTCAGGCACCACATGCACCAAGCAAAACGACTACTACCACCAATGTATCTAAATTGACATGGTGGACAACCATGCTTGACGAGTGCAGAGGAACGGGTAGTATCGGTGGGCGATATTTGTGGAGAAGTTTGGCTTGTAGAAGTCTGTGACTATTTGCTGGTGGTGTCAAGTGGGCTCGGCCGCCTAGGGCCGGGCTTGCGCACCGCTGGTTTTCGATTCTAATGTACATACGTAAACTCCACGACGAATTGGACGAAAATGCCTCTCCGGATCAATGCCTGTGCCCTATTTTGACATGGACCTCATCATCTTAGTGTACCCACCTCTGCTGTGTAAGGACCAAGAGGCTCGTCAGTGGCCAGGGGGCTACGTGTCTAGAAGCCCCAGGTGCCACGCGTGAAGAGCTACGTCTCAGATCTAAGCTGACCGGCCAACTCGGCAATTGCATGAGGGGCCATCGGGAGAGCGAGAGAGAGTGAGGCCGTGTTGCAAGGCTGTGTTTGTAGGCTGTGGGTGCAACAGGAAGCGTAGCATAAGCATGCCTCAGGCTGAGGGCCGTTGTCGGTGTTAGGAGGGCATGGAGAGCAGTCTAGACCTGACTGGGGCATGAGTGGATGCGATGGCGTGCGCGTGACTAAGCCGAGGTTATCCGCGCGCCCCCGGCGTGCGTCCCCAACATTTGTTGCGCCGACACTCGGGGAAGCGTCCATCCAGACTTACACCCACACATGCATCCATACGTACCTGACAGCTCATAATACCCCCAGCAGCCACAGCACATCATGTCTTCCACTCGCTCATAACTCGCTCCTTTTACTTCTGTCCGCTCGAAACTACGCACCTTCCATCAACACTGCTATCATGGTAGCCCCTTCTTGCGCCTGGGTCCGCGTCGGACTGAGGCGCATCCCTAATGCCCCTTCTCGCAACACGACAAACACATCCAACTTCGAACGCGCCCGTCTACGAATTCACCTGTCCCATACCTCTCGCCGCTACAACAGCACCGGCTCAGACGGAGCCCAGGGTGCTGCTGCGACTGCGCGAACCATCCCCGGGCCCAGCTGGCTGTGGCTCGATCCCATCGTCGAACCCTTTCGGGCATATGGTCGCGTGCAACAACGGAGGCCATACATGACCCAATTGGTGTCTTCACTCATCATCTATTTCATCGGCGACTGTGTGGCCCAGAGCATCACCCAACCTGAGCCTTCCACCCAGCAGGACCCGGTCGACGAGGCCGACGAGAAGGGCTGGGTGCAGCAATGGAGCGACGACCGTGACTGGACCCGCACCATGCGAGCCCTTTGCATTGGAGGACTGAGCGCCATCCCATCATACAGGTGGTTTCTGTGGTTGTCCAACAGCTTCAACTACCGGTCCAAGACGCTCTCTCTTACCATCAAGGTACGTTGTCATCCACGATCAGAGCGTATGCGCTTGCAACAATTACTAACAAAGCGCCCAGGTCTTCATCAACCAAGCCTTCTTCACCCCACTATTCAACTCGTACTTCTTCGGCATGCAAACCCTCCTCTCCGGCGGCACCTTTCCCGAAATCATCGAGCGCATCCGCAACACAGTGCCCACTAGCTGGTGGAACAGCTGCAAAATCTGGCCCGCAGTCACGGCCTTTAGCTTCACCTACGTGCCCATTCAATACCGCAGCATCTTCGGCGGTGTCGTGGCAATCGGCTGGCAGACGTATCTCAACCTGCTCAACCAGCAGGCTGCTGCTGTAGAGGAATTGGAGCGTGCGGCCGGTAGCCACGTTGCACCACTCAGTGTCCGCTCGGTGCATGCTCATGCAGAACATGGCCAAGTCATGCAGAAATGCGTTGCTTAGACGTCATGCTTTTGTTTTACGAGTGGGCCATTCCCGACGAAAGAAAAAAACACGCACGCTTTCTGTTGCCGTTTTCGGAACTACCATCTCTCCTTCTTTTTTTTTCACCGGTCGAGCCTCTGGGCTTCCACTTACATTCGTTAACTTTGGCTAATCCGTGTCGGAATCGGCTAGGCCCCTACAAACTCTGTTTTTCCTTTCTTTTCTTTTGTTTTTCAAAATCCCCCATGGGCAGAGACTTTTTTCTCCGGAACCCGAGGGAGAAGGAAAAAAGCGGGCGGAAAAGGGGGGTTAAACTCCGCCCCTTCCGACCTTTTTTCCTTTACTACTATTTTTTGCATGATAGACGGGCGTTTTATGTTTTTTTTTACTTTGCATTTGGCATTTGATACCACGAGCGCTCAGTCAAACTAGAAATGCGCCGATATAACCTTTTAGATGTTTTTTTACAACACTTTTGTATACAATTTTTATCTGAATTCAATCATATATCCTTTTGGGAGCTTCTTCTCACGAAAGCACACTTGGTCAAAGTTTAACTTCCTTTTCTTCGTTTTGCTTTGATCTACCGCTACTTTCTTTTGCTTTTTTTATCTCTTCTCGTTTGTCTGCTAAGTAAAGAAGTTTATTTTAGTTTGGCTGGGAGCGAACGCCCTCCGGCTCGGGATATACTACCGTACTTCGGGTTCCCCCCAAAGGAACTAACGAATTAAGACTTTATTGACTTTTACACTTAGTGGAGGGAGGGAGGGAGGGCCAAGTAGACTAGTTTGCTGGGAAGCGAGACGTCATTTCCACACTTGTGTTGAGTCGGCTTGGAGTGATATATGCAGTTTGGTGCATAAAGTGATGTACATACTGCGCTGTCCTGGACAACCACAGTTTGGGCCGTTTCCCTAGGTGATGCTGGGCTACATCATCGGGAGGTGTTGGAAATGCTGGGGGTTTGGAGGGTTCCCTGCCGACTTCATTTTTTCTTGGGCTGCGCACTGTACTGTGCCTTTGATGATGGGTAGGGATCACGGAACTGTCGCGCGCTTGTTCCGGACTCAGGACCCATCTCATTCTTCTTCTTGCATAATAGCCTCGCACTGCTCCCTGAGCTCTTGCACACCAGCCACCCCCTTCCACTTATCCAGTATCACACTAACCTCCTCCCACTCCTTTTCCGCTTCCTCCTCGCGCTCCTGGTCAACCAGTATCTGCAGCCGTCTTGGCGTGTCGAGCACCCACTTTACAGTCTCCTTCTGCCTTCGCTTCTTGTCTGCCTCCGCCGCGTCTTGTTCTCCCTGCATACTGATTCCCAGTCCTTCTTGTTTCGGCTGGTGACTCTCGTGCAGCGACGACGACAGTGCCGCAGCTGTCTCGGCAATATGCGATATGGCAGGCCCAAGCGTGTGCGTGGTAGGTGCAAGAGGATCCATGTTGCCGCGCATGCGACGGATGGTGCTGGTGGCAGAAAGTAGTTTGGAGTAGTTGTCGTAGACTAGAGATTTGCGGTCGCTGTCAAGATTTCGGATTTCTATTCTCGTAATTAGTTGTCCGTTCTTTCTTTCGCCCTATGCTTGCGCTGAACCAACGTACGTGATATCAAGTCTGCTTCTACTTTCAAAACGCCCTTGAGCCCCTCTCTTGCAAGCAGACTCTCCACATAGGCTTCGGCGTTGAAGTCCGAGGCGTCCAGCTCCGTCAGTGTCTCGTCTTCCTCGGGCCCCAATGGGTTCGTCGTTGTTTCCTCGGATATCCTGACATCGGCGCCTACGTCTTTGGGTGCGGGTTTGAGGCCATAGAATTCGCGCAGGGCGGCGCGGTTGCGGCGGGCGGGCTGCGGGGGTGGCCGGTGCGACGAGCTGCTGTCGATGGATGTGCGGGTTAATGAGGGGGTGCGGACGGACGAGCTGGGGCGGGGAGAGGCTATTGTCGACATATTGTTATATGTGCTGTAGGATTTGGGGATTTAGGAGAGTTTAGAGAGTGTACGTTGGAGCTTCATGTCAAGGGCCGAGGAGAGCCCCACGTCATTCTACGCGTCGCGTCGGCTACGTAGTACTACAACTGTTCCACACATGACTTTTGCATAAAACTCACAAACGTACAAGATTTCAATCATGGCCGCTAATATTGCAGCTGAACTAACCCAGCATCTCAATGCCCGCCATCTCCATCCTACGGCGGCCTGGTTCGAGAGTTTTCTTTCTACCACCCGGCCGAATACACCACTGCCCGCATTAAAGCAGACATTACTATTCCGTCTACTAGCAACCGATATCACAAAATCCCTAAGTCAGCTGCCCAGCTCGGTGTTCCCTAGCGACGTGCTCAATGGAAATACGCAGTCTCGCATCATTCCTGGCCCTATCGTCTGCCAAGTGCTCGACATTGAGGACATCGGACACTCGCGCTGGTCCCAAGTCGAAGCCATTGAAGCAAAAGAGCGGGGCGAGACGACCAAAGGAAGAGAAATTGTGCGCGTAGTCGAACAAGACAACGAGACTGCTACCGAGGCTGCAGCGCCTGCGCAAAGTAAAGGTCCCTTCAAGCTTCTCCTTCAGGATGCCAAAGCCCTCAAGATCTACGCCATGGATCTAAGAGGCATCGATGGCCTCCACACAAACATGGCCATGGGTGCGAAAGTGGTTTTGAAGGACTTTGATGTAAGAAGAGGAGTGATTATGCTTGAGCCAGGCAATGTCCAGGTTCTGGGTGGGAAAATTGAGGCGCTCGACAAGGCTTGGAAGGAGGGGAGGAAGGAGCGGCTCAAGGCTGCTGCCAATTCGCCAGCAGAAAGCGCGGGGTGACAAGGCTATAAAACCACGCCTGTTCTTCCGACAACCACGCCAGCTTCTCTCCAGAATAGTCCTCCAGAAATGTTCTGCGAAACCTGTATCAGCATTCTTCAGCACCGTCGCCATGTCATTAGGTCCGTAACAAGCCCAAGCGAGCTGGAAGCTTGCGGCGAAATTGTACCATTTGTCGAGGTAGGTTGACAAATCATAAATGGTCAACGTGGGTTTTTGACAGTATCGTGGCCAGTATCTTCACCATTCAACGCGCAAATCATTGGTTATATCAGCAGAGGATGGGTGTCCTGTTTGCCGACCAATTTTCGACAGATGTTCGGATTTTGAACGGAAATCATTGCGTGATCTTGAATCTAGTAACATTGAAACTACTAACGGTGATGCTCTACACCCAGAATTCATCACTTCTGCTCAGTTGACATATATGACGGGAGCGGAATCGATTTACTTTATTATCAATTTCCACAGGGATCTGTTCCCCGAATCTTCACACAAGGCAGGTACATTCATGCTAGAAAAGGATGATGGTCTGTTTCTCCTCTACATATTTAGTGCATACACTGATCAAGCAGCAGGCGAATTGGAGTGTGATGTTTACCCAGAGGGCGACACCACTACTGACCATACTTCTTCTAATGCATCTTTTGAGCTGGCTTCCATGTGGCTGCGAGACTGCGTTCAATCACACTCGCGATGTAATTCCCATAAAGATGGCACGCCATGGTATCCAACGCGTCTTTTGCATCTAGTTGATTCTGATAGAAAGGAGGGCTACGTACGGCTCATACGCACAGCCGAGATGTCACCCGATGAACATTATGCTACTTTGAGTCACCGCTGGGGCAATACAAGACCTCTCCAACTTACAAAGTCAGCGGCGTCCGATCCAAACCACCGCTTTTTGGTGGCTGAGATGCCCAAAACGTTCCAGGAGGCCATCCAGGCGTCCAAAAGACTTGGGATTCAATACCTATGGATAGATTCCTTATGCATCATCCAAGAGGGAGACAATCTTCGCGATTGGTATCATGAAGCAAGTCTGATGGACAAGGTATACATGCATTCCCATCTCAACATTGCTGCAGCAGATGCAGATAACGGCACAAAAGGACTTTTTCGACAACATCCCCCATTACCTCTAGGTCGTCAGCGTGTTGCAATCAATACAAAAGATATGAAACCAGGACCACATTACGCTAACTATCTAATGACGGACTGGATGCTGTGCGATCGCAACCTGGACAACTCTCCTCTTCACAACCGTGGCTGGGTTTTTCAAGAACGCTTCCTGGCCCCGCGCAACCTGCATTTCTGTCGTGATCAGCTTTTCTTCGAATGCAACGAGCACACCGCATGCGAGACATTTCCCAAAGGACTCCCCGGTCTTAGAAAGCATCATGGGCACAAGCCCATAAAGTCCATGCTTTGGAAACAAGAAGATCTTTCTGTGTTATCTGATAGAAATAGAGAGCACTTAAGAACCTTTTGGTATAGTCACGTTATTTCCATGTATTCTATTATGGACTTGTCTGTTTCAACGGATAAGTTGATAGCCCTTTCTGGTGTAGCCAAACTCTTTATGGCTCGTCTTGAAGATACATACGTAGCGGGTATGTGGCGTAGTCAGTTGGAAGACTCGCTGTTGTGGAGCGTTGTACCTCGCGACTTATTGCCTCGTCCATTAGTTTATCGATCACCAACTTGGTCTTGGGCGTCAGTAGATGGACACATACAATCAAGTCTGATTGAGGAGGGTCGAGAACTACTCATACACGTGGAGGATGTCGCACTGTTTTATGCAACCGAGGATACTACGGGGGCAATCACCAGAGGTTGGCTAGACCTACGCGGGACCCTCAAACCAGCGAGGTTGCGTAAACTCGAAGGGTCTCAAACCTCGTGGTATATATCCTGTGATAGCAAAGCTATCTCTCAACAACATAAAACCACTGAAGATGATGCTGATGATTCTTCAACCATATGTGTCTGGCTCGACATTATGCAAGACACTGATTTGGTTGAAGATAACGCACAGAGGCGTCTATTCATTATGCCTTGTATTAAATTGGGCGGCCCAGGATGGCTCAGTGGTCTTTTGCTTCGGCTTGGGGACAAGGAAAAGGCTTTGTTTGAGAGAATTGGATATTTCTACCCTGAGACGCTTGGTGGGAACAAGACAATATCGGCAGACTTGAGCGAAGACACAAAGGCTCGCCTACCGTGTCTACGCTATGAAAATGGGAAGCATACCATCCGGATCATCTAGACTCGTCTGAAACCTTGGTCTTGTTCCGATCGACATGCCCAGTTGGTCAAGAAGGCTAGATCTCAGGGTCTCTGTCCAGATCGAGCTAGAACGACGTTGACAAGCGCTTGGCCCAAGACGGTGCCGTTGTTCAGGGTTCAAAAATCTGGATCTTAGCCACTGCCATGCGGGAGAAGCGGGGCAAGATGCGTTTGCCAACCACTCAAGCCAAGTTGGCTCCCAAGCATCTCATCATACCAACACGCATCAGCCACGAGACGCCCAGACGCTCAGTCAGCTGGTGACGTAGCGCCACCTTGTTTGTATATTACTGCACCTTTGTCCCCCGCCACGGATGCAAGTTTGCTACGTCAGATTTACATGTCTAGACTGTTATTCTTGGTCGACTGTCTTTAACCAATCAAAATAATCATGGCTACTTCAGATCAGAGCGCACAGTTCAGAGGTACGGTATCCTGTTTCATGCCACCCTTGCTGTTGTATTCAAGGGCCTCGCCAGAAGAAGAAACCACCAGTGATTGGTAATGAGGCGATAGCATGCTAACACATTGCAGAGCCACCAGTCGGAGCCCTTCCTGAAGCCACTAGCACCTTTTCATCGCAATCCGAAGTCAGTGCTCAATTTCGAGGTTCGTAACCCTTGTCAATGACCTCCAAATCCAGTACGCTTTAGTCGACTTTGTCGCTCCCCAATACAGCCTTGGACAGTTTACTTATGCATATCTGCAGAGCCAGTCACCTCGCATTCTTCTACCGACTCGCCCACGACAAATGATTCGATCAACGATGGCCCTGCAGATCACAAACCCGTAAGCGAGAAGATCAAGAATGTATTGAAGAAACCTTTTTCATCTTCTTCGTCGTCGTCATCAGGTGGTTCAAACAAGCTTGGGGAGAGGGAGATTACGTCTCCTGAGATGGAAGCTGCAAAAGAAGTGCTTACAGCCAAGGACCTGAGGTCGCCATAGTGATGGTGGGGGGGTTGAACTAGAACAGACGAGATGCATAATTCTGCGGATGCAGGTACACGTGGGTTCAGCCGCAGAATGCCATGATGGCTCTTTTTTCTTCTGCACTTTCTTTTTTTTCTTACTATTTATCCAATAACGCGGTACCAATCAGGAAGCAAATCAATCGTATCATTTTTCTGGGCTGGCAAGTTTGTCAAAAGCAAAAATATCCAGACTCCTGTGGCGGTCTTGGTTGGTTATTCAGATAAAGTCTATTTTGCAATACATCCTTTTCAGCTGACAGGTATATATGATTTGGCATGTGAAGCGTTCCTTTTCTGCAGCGATGGATGCCGTTGGCATAGAGAGATAGATGACCATGAACCATGGAATGCAATGAAGACGACAAGAGTGATGAAGAAAGTAAAATATAATAAATACATAAAAAAGTTCCCATGATTGACATGATACCAACACCCCTCCTCCCCCCTCCTTACAATTCCACAAAAGTCTGCATGAAAATTCAAAATGATCATACCACCATCATGTACTCACTAACAACCCATAAAATCTAGGTAATAACCGTCTGATTAAGATACAAATCACAGGTATGCGGATTCTGGAGACAATACTTGGGCATAAGAATCGTCGCCTGGACGCCATTGGCAACGAGGTACTCCCTAAAGTTCAAGATACGCTGGGTCAACTCGGTAGTCCTCTTCTTGCCGTCTTTGTCCCTATTACCGGACCAAACGAGTTCAGCAAGGGCGGCAGCACGGGGCCAGATTTTCTGAGAAATGACTACGGAGTCGACTTGTTCGCCGAAAAGGGGGGCAATGGCGCCTTGGACGAGTTTCTTTTGGTCGGCCGAGAGGCCCTGGGTGAAGTCGTAGTCGTAGATGCGTTGCCAGGTTTTGTAGGGGGCGCACCAGGAGCCGCCGTTGCCGCCCCAGTTGAAGTTTGCGACGCCGTCGGCGGCGTTGGGGTTGACCATGACGTTGTAGCGGGGATCGTTGCTGACGTAGCCGCCGTAGCCGCAGTCGAGGTACATGAAGTCGGAGCTGGAGACGATGACGCGGTAGCCTTGGGAGGTGAGGTTGGAGATGTGGTCGAGGCCGTTGTTCCAGGCTTGGAGGATGATGTCCTTGGGGACGTTGCCTGTGGCGGCGACCGTGGCAGAGATCTTGACATCTTCCCACATGACGAAGGTCTTGTTGACTTGAGAGCGGAAGTTGGGCAAGGCGCGGTCGACCCAGACTTGGTAGAGGTCGCCCATTGTCTTGCCCGTGGCGAAGAAGTCGCGGGCCAGAGAGGAGAAGTTGTTGCAGTTCATGAAGAGCTCGTCGCCGCCAATGTGGAACCAGTTGTCCGGGAAGATGGTGGCGAGTTCCTTGTACACCTTGCCGGTGACTTCGTACGTCTTGTTGTTGAGGATGTCGAGCTGACCCGGGTTGGGCTGCACGGCCGTGTGGAGCGGCCAGTCGTCGTTGGACCACCAGCTGTCCTCGCAAGTGAGGATTTCCTTGTCGATTTCCTCCCAGCCCGAGCTGGCGTGGCCCGGCATGTCGATTTCCGGGATGACGCGCACGCCGCGGGCACCGGCGTACTCGACGATTTCCTTGAGAACGGATTGAGAGTAGACCTCGTTGGCTGAGTAGGCGTCCTTGGTCATGTCTGGGTACGACTTGATCTCAATGGGCCATGACTGCGTGTCGACCATGTGCCAGTGAAGGACGTTGAGCTTGGAAAGCGCCATTCCGTCAATCTGCTCGAGGATCTTGGCCTTGGAGATGTAGTTGCGGCCAGAGTCAATCATGATACCGCGGACAGGGTAGAGGGGCTTGTCGTCAATGGAGACGGGCTGCTCGATAATCAACTTGCCTGAGCCGTCGTTGATGACGATTTGCTGCATGGTAGTCAGGGCGTGGAGAGCACCGTAGACAGTTCCAGCAGTGATGTGAACGCTGCTTGATCCAGCAGCAAGCTCAAGCTTGTACGACTCGTCGACGCCATGTTGGAGCTGAGCCTTGGTGTCGGCAATGTCGACCTTGACTGAGCTGATAGTGCCCGTGCAGTTTCCAGCAGAGACAGTAGTAGGAGTATTCCTCCTCTTCTTCTTCTTGGACCCACTCTTGGGGAAAGGTTCAAACTCCCTGACTGGGGCCTCGATACCCGCAGGGATCCACTCGAGGTCGGTGACGGTCTTTGTCATTCGGCTGAAGGCATCAGAAAGCACCTTGTTGTCGGGGCCATCCAGAGTGATTGATCCGACGGCAAAGCATCCCGAGTCGCCCCAGGTAATGCTGGCAGGCTTGGGAAGAGGGTTGACGGCAACAGCTCCAGTTCGTCGGGCGAACAAGGCTGAGGCCGTCAGGACTGAGGCCAGGGTGAGGTCGCGCATTGTTGTTGTCAAGGAAAAGGGAATACGCTCAAGGACCAAAATACACAGCAACGAAGTGAGGTCAGGAATCCAGACACTTGGTCGACGAGTAATAAGCAAGAAAAAGGAAACGAATGTGCACAGCCGCGTGATTGTTATATACTACGGTGGAGAGGTGGAGAGGAAGGGGCACTATTTCAATGTCTGCCGCATTGACTAAGACCAGGCTTTCACGGCGCGCGAGCTGGGGTATTCGGCCAAGCCATGCTAGTCCATTCACTTCCACTGTTAAGGTCCACACAGATCACAACCTGCATGGTGCGCCATCGGGAGGCGTGAGCGCGCTGGCCCCCCCTGAATGCGTGCTAGCCAGTCGGTCACTCAGCCTTGCTGCATAGCGTAACCCACACCCAAGCCTCTCCACTGCAACCCACACCCATCCTCGCCCCCCCTTTCGCGCCGTACCGCGTGCCTGGTGGCTGTCGTGGTGTTGCAACGCTATCGTTGCTCGTCCTGTCGGCCAGCACACTACTGGTAGTGTCCCTGCAATGCCACACTCCTTCTCCACATGCTGCGATATCTGAGACATGGCAGTCCTGGCCTTGGGCGGAGGAGCTGACTGCTTTGCTTGCTGCTTGCTGGGGGCGGGCCTTGGGGAACATGATCACCCCCCGCCACCCGACTGCAGATCGTCCTCTGGCGCTAGAACAAACGGCTGGCACTCGGAGCTCGCTGGCGGCCTACCTTGTGTAAACACGCCCCACGTCCACCAGCCTTTGTCTGGATGATTGGCCGTATCGACAAAACCTCCCTTTAACCTTCTGAGGTGAGCGTGCACGACGCGGGCCGTTTGTTGTCAACTTTCGCGTAGGATTTCAACCTGGCCGAGCGCATGACGCAGTCGGATGAACAATGGCATGTTACTTCGGAGATTCTGCTGCCATCCTGGCCAAAGAAAGCGTCAAGTAAGATGCCCGTGCCGCCCGTCTTTCGGCTGTGCGCGCACGTCGACTGCCGTGAGCGTTGAACTGGCTATACCTTACTATGCCTTGCAGCACTTTTCTTTCATAGCGCCGAGTGGGGTGCAGCCAGACTAATGTCACGTGCCGCTCTTTATATGCACCTAGTCGACAAACCCGCCAGCAGATGCAATTCAGCTGTGCGTTGGTACGAGTATGTAGCAAACGCCCAGGCGCGCGGTACGGACAAGGAGATGACGCGGATACTGCGTGTCACCGCATCATTGCGCAAGGTCTGTTGGGCTGATGAGCATGGTTCAGTCTGCCGTTTCATACAAGCCATGGGTCTTGGGAAAACCAAGCAGTCGGACCGTCACTCCAAGACGACGCACTCACACTGCCATGCATAAAGTTCAAAGAAACTCATCCACCGCGCTATTAATAGATGCCAGTAGTAGGTGTATACCGCTTAGCTGACTCGATTGACTATTCGTCTCACCATTGCCGTTCATCTATGCTGTAAGAAATATTCTCATGGTTCAAGTGATTGGCTCTCGACGTCCGGAGCATTTCTTTTTACCTTTAAAGTTACCCTCCGTATATGCCTGCTTACTGTGTGGGCTGAGTCCAATGATACGACCGGAGCCCCGCGGAGCCCTTATACTCAAGTACCATTGCATCATTGCAAGTGCAATCATTCAGCTGGAGGCTTGAGGCGCAACCTGCTCGGTACTTGTCGCATTGAGTCCTGCCTGCTGCTTAACCAAAGCCCACGGGGCCGCGGGAACGCTCAGTAGTTTGCACACCTCCTTGCGACGCTTCCGAAAGTCTTGGTACAAACTCATCCATATCCGTCTTTCAGCGCAGCTTCCTTCGCCGTCTCCCCCGCAGTCGGGTTGCATCTCCGGGACACTGCCGCCAGGCCATGCGAACCATGGCGGTGGCAATGGATGGTCACTGAAGTGAATAATTTTGGCTTCTTTGTAAACCTTCTCGGCATCCCATTTTTCGTCGGCGTCACCCAAGTAGTCGACGTGCTCATGCTTTCGGAACTCTGCCGTGCGAAGAGCATACGGGCGGTGTGGCAAAACCAACGCACTCTGCTCATATCGTTCATTCAAAATCTCCATGTCGTACCGATGCATCCTGACCAGCATGCTGTCACCACCGCCTTCCATGAGTATCTTGAATTTCTCCAGCTGTCCCGCATTGGGTTGGATCACCATAAGCTTTGTCGACAATGGCCAGGGCTTGCTGTCGGTCCAGTATGCACGCGGCATGGCTATTGGCGTAGGAGGAAGGAGAAAGAGCTCGTCGAGAGAGCTGAGAAGTGTAATGTCCGAATCCAGAGAAATGACACGGTCGTAGTACTCGAGAGAAAACGCCATTAGCTTGGTAACTGTTTCATCCCATAGCCACTCAGCTGTAGTAGCGTTAGCCATGCACCTGTAATGTCCGGCTTTAGCAGGCCTGACATACTCTCTGTTCGCCCGGCGACCTGAAGCGGTTTGACAGGATACAGCTTGGCTTTGTAGACATCGCGTGCCAAATTAAGTAGCTGACTGTCTCGGTCCCTCGAGCTCTCTACAGTCGTGTCCCAGTGCTCAGGGTAAAAGAGAACACGGTCCGCCTTGCTACCAAACCGACCAAGCGCATCCAGCACCATCACGGCGTGACAGAGCGATGCGCTATCCGTCGCATAGACGCTGTATGCATAGTTTGACCAGTTGATCCTGACGACACCAACCGGCTCGGGTACGGGCTTGTGGGTTGGGTACAGCAACCAACATGCGAATACAAAGCCGATGATGTAGTACACGTACTGGCGGCGCATGCGAAATGACGGCCATGCCAGCTGCTTCTCAAGTCGCGGATGCTCGTCTGATCGCCGTCGACGCATGGCTCGATGGGTGTTTGCAAGACACTGACATTTCCGCGCCGCTGCTTGTGAGGTTCACGTTGACAGGCTACCGGTGACGCGCAATCCCGGCCTTTACAGGGCGAGTGCCGAACATGCACCATCCCGCGCTCGGATCCTTCATGTCAGCAAAACTCGGACGACTCCTTTACCGTGTACATGCTAAGTACAAGGACATCCATAACACTCCTCTTCACCAATCACTTTGCCCATTGCTCCATGTCAATTGCATATGCATCGTCATGGCGGCTAGTGCTGAACTATTCCACAGCGTGCCGGATATTGGCGCATCACACTACCCATTGAAGCCTTGGCCCGACGAGCAAGCATCACAGTCAGCACGGAGATACCAATTCAGATGTGGCAAGACGCATTGTATCATTGCCCTATGCCAGAGTCACTTTTATAGTATGGTATCAAATATCCCAAACGCCGTAGCTGTGCAAACTCCCCCGGTTCCGAAACGGTAACCTCGAGGTTGGAAACGTGATCCTCATTCAGCTATGTAGCGCCCTCTATGGCATATGTCATTCATCGTAATCCTCAAGCACATTGTGCAAGCATTTACTCCTCAGGAACTGCATCTTGTTAGCTAGCCATGTCTTTTCAAGCTGCCCAGACGACAACTTACTCTCAATCTCGCCGGCCCTGATGTCGTCAGAGACATCCTTGGGGCTGCGGCCGTCAACCTTGCAGCCGGTGCTGAAAGCGGTTCCGAGAATCTCAAGGGTGGTACCCTTCAGGTCCTTGGCCATGGACTTGAAGCGCATGGTACGGGCAATGGCGATGATCTCATCAAGAGGAATGCTCTTGGTGTGCTTGATGTTCTTCTCCTTCTTGCGGTCTCGGGGGGGCTCCTTTAGGGCCTTGATGACGAGGGAAGAAGCGGAGGGAACGACGGAGACGGCGGCTTGACGGTTTTGGATGGTCAACTTGACGGTGACACGGAGACCCTTCCAGTCACCAGTGGCCTTGGCGATATCTTCACCGACCTCTACGGGCTTGTTAGACTTGTTTTTCGGCGGTGTCTGCGGCGGAGCGTTGGAAACGTACTCTTGGGGGAGAGACCGAGAGGACCAATCTTGGGAGCGAGCGCGGATGAGGCACCGACTTCACCACCGGTCGCACGGAGGTGAATGACCTTCACCTCGGAGGGATCGAACTTGGGAGCTTTGGGTATGTAAGCGCATGACCGTATAGAAAAGCCTGGCTGTCAAAGAGGGCAAAATCTCTCGTGGCCAGGCGCACATTCGGTGTCCTAGCCACAGAGACTTCGCTCATCTTTTTAGGAGCCGACCAGAAGGATGATACTCACGCATGGCTAGTGCTTGAGGTAGTCAATCGGTTCTGGTAGTAAAGAATGACTGCCGTGGATATTTTGGAAAGTTCGTGAGAGGCAGAAACTCGTGGTGGGGGACGACAATATTGGTGGTCCTACGGCGACAAGCGAGCCTTGGCAGCGCCTTCCCTAAAGGGCGATAGCCGCTTTGTGCTGCACATCTAGCTTGCACCACATCTCCGGGCGTTTACTCTCAACATCTTTGCACAATCAACGTAGACCATTCTTGACATCTCTAACCGCATTCACGTCAAACAATCACAAGTGTCTTACAAATTGACAACAGTATGCCAACACAACAATGGCCAGCTTCACTATCTTGACCATCAAGTGATCAGTCATGAGTGATGAATGATTCCATCCATCTATATTGCCCATGAACCCACTTCGTTGGATCTAAATCACCAAGACAAAAATAACGCGATTGGACTTGCAATAATGGTTCGGGTATCTTGCCACATCTATTTACGCAGATGCTGTGAAGACGCGCATCACGGAGCATCACAGCCGCTTCTTCTTGGCAATGTACCGCTAACCGAGGGTTCCTTTGAGAAATACGAAAAGGCTGATAATCGATGTGAGAAGGTTGTGCAAAGCACTAGAGTTGACAAGGCGGATATACAGACTCACAAAGGTCCATATTACGGCACCGGAAGCTACTCCAATGAGGGTATAGTAGACGTAGCAAAGCGCGATGGCACCGTGACGGAGGCTATACGGTCTCTGCCTCCCTCCGAGATACACGATGGAAGATTGTTCCAAAAGGGGAGATAAGTCCCCATCGAGGCTATCCAACGAAATGAAAATATTATAATCTCTCAAACACAAAATGATATTAATAGTCCACAACCTGTAACTCTTGCTCATCTAACAATCTAGCCCGTGTCTATTGCAAGCCATATTGCTCAGGCCACTGCAAGTCTGAAACCGAGAATTGCGGAAATGTATATGGCGGAATGAGCATGTTCCCCACGTCCATTTGCGCACTACCAAACATCTTCTCAACATCGTTCTGTTTTCTGTATCAGTATTGAATAATCACGCTTGAGCGAATCGACTTACCCAGTCAATCTCATTGATGGCGTCCATGGGGTTGCTACTTGACGACTGAGGAGTCGTGCCGTATATTGCAGAGTTCGGACTGCTGTTGTTGCCTCCACTGTAGGGGTCCATACTGGGAGGATACGCGCCAACAGAGCTGGGGACGTAGTCATTGTACACTGGCGGCTGCGCAACCGGGACTGAGGCTGGAAGATCGATAGTGCCCCAATCCACGCTTGGGATAGCACCGGGGAAATTGTTTACTCTAGGACCTAGTGAAGAACCATGTTGTAGGGTAGGTGGACGCGCTGGTTGCACAGGTAGTTGTGCGGGCAACCCTTCTGCCATGCTATGCGGCGGAGGACCAACACTGGTCACGGGTGGTGGTGAAATTTCCTGACGTTGTACCTGGCCTTCTTGGGGTTGTTGTCTAGATTGTGGTGGCGCATTTGGTACACTTGGTGCGTTGTTCGGGGCGCGAACTCGCTTCATATCAGAGTATTTCTTAGTTTTGCCAACCAGCTCTGACAATACTGATTTCGTCTTTTCCTCGTTGGAAAGCCCTGGAGGGAGATCGAGCGAGTAATCTAAACATCTCCAGATTCGTTGCTCTATGACAGGGTCAGGCTTAGACATGTTCACTTCACTGATAAGGAGAAGCGCGCAGTGATGCTGGTGGAGAGCACCAACAATCCATGACCATCGAGACAAGATGGGATGCTGCTCAATCGCCATGCCATGTTCCAGGATCAGCGTCGCAGCGCTCATGACAAGCTGTCGCAAGCGCACAGGCATTCTGCTGCGAACACTAGAAATGTACTTTTGTAATATTGAGACGTACAGTCGATTCGAGACAATACCATGGAGCTCTGAAGCCAGGACGTGTAGTGCGTTCGACTTGCTAAGCATCGGCACATACTTCTTCTCCATGGCTGCCAGGAATGACTGAACACGTGATAGGACGGATGTAATGGTTACGTCGTTTTTACCGCCCGTGCGCTTCTGGTCTAATTTTGGGCGTTCATTCCAGAGGTATCGATGCATTTCGTATGCTTCAAAGCGCATACGACTTATGGTCATGTCGGTGAAACGAATCGAGTCTTTGCTGACATCTATGCCAGGCTCACCACGCTCAGCGCGATCGAGGTCATCATCATCGATGTTAAGAGGGAAGCGCGTATCATAATCATCCAGACGGATCTGCGGTCGGGGACCCACAGCTTCACAAGTACGGAGATCTAGAAAGCAGATCTGATACCATACAAGGCGCCGGACTTGGATCTCGATTGGCGAGCTACTGTATGAGGTAGGGTCCCGATGGAGCCCCATGCATTCGGCAAGGCGGATCAAGGATCCCGTCAGCGCAGAATGAGCGCGGGACACTTCATTACGGCACAAGGGGATCTAAAGTCACTAAATTAGCTTCATGATACCATTGTGCAAAAATACCGCGAATGTATAGTAAATTCGATGCAGCATCTGTTTAGACTCTCGCATGAAGGATGTAACCTACCAGATACATGACAAAAGCTTGAATTGTTTCCAGCTTGGTAGTGCGCAAGAAGTTTGCTTTGGCGAGAGCTGCCTCTGCTCCTTCACGAAAGCTATTCACCAGTGTTGGTTTATCAACCTGGTATTCAGCCTGCACTTTCTCTTCACTCATAGAGACGACTGAACTCAGCATAGCCGCAAAAAGAACCGCCTGGAAGGAAGAGCGAGGCTCCATGCCCATGTTGACTCTGATCCAAAAGTTTTGATATTGCCTCTCAAACGAGGGGCGATGGACGACTCGAGCAACGACATGCACGGCGACCCAGTAATGTGCGATAAGTTTATCGACAATAAATCGTGCTGGCAGATAAGACACGAGCGATGCGTTATCGAGTCCGGAAGCCAGCATGAAGTTGGACGATGGGGCGACATAGTCCTTACTTGGCGCTAACCAAGTGGGATCTTCCTCTATAGTTGGCTGTGTGGGTGTTTCGCGTAATGGCATTTCTTTTATGTGCTGGGCCAGCTGGAAAACAAATATGTTAATTGACGATAAGCGGCCCGGGAGATGCGGAAACTTACTTCATCCGAGAACTTTGGACGCACGAGACCTCCAATACGCTCTGTTATTCGAATCTTACCCATGCGGAAGCCAAGATCGACTATGTCGTCGTTGGTATCGTCTTCGTCTTCGTAATAGGTAGCGTCTTCGGTAACAAAACCGGTTGGACGAAGGTCCTTGGTGTCCTCATCGTCTTCCTGGTCACTTTGGTGGATTTGACCGGGGAGTGCGCTCAGTCTGGAGAAATCATAAGGGCCTCTGTTGCCTGAGTCTGTCTTACGAACGACGCCTTCTTCGAGACTTCTCTCCAACATGCCCATCTGCTCCTTGACCTCTGCGAGCTTTGCTTGCGCATCTGGATCTAGGCCTTGGGCGATGAAGACGCATGCCCGAGAGTTCTTGGTACAGTGTGTGCATGGTTGGGCTTTGTCACACTTTAGTTTTCTTCTTCGGCATTCAAGACACGAAGTGATCAACCGATTGCGGCGGCGAACGCGGGGTTGAGCTTGAGCAGTCTTGCGTTCAAAGCCAGGCAGTTGACTAGGCCAT